GTCTTGGGGCTTAACCAGTTGCGTAGCTACCGTAAAGCTAGCGTAAGCAAGGCATAGGGGCCCAAGGCAAATAGGGGCCCTTTTTCGAAAGTTTGAGAGGGGGGTGCAAATCGAAAATCTGAGGGTGGGTGGTGCAAAGTTTGAGGTGGGTGCAAATCGAAAGTTTGAGGGGGGGGTGCAAATTGAAAGTTTGTCCCCGGTCGCCGGGAAGGGTCGCTACGCCTCTGAGGGGCCCATAACACTTTTTGCATAGGGGCCCAAAAATCCTAGCTACGCCACTGGGCTTAACATGACACCATATTGTTAGCAAACTATAGTTTCAAGCTATTCACTTGTAAATACGTTGTATGAAGTGGAAACACGATAAATCTCTACCAGCGGTACAGAGGAAAGAAGAAAACTTTAAAAAAACACCTTCGGCAACAAAACAAAAAGTGTGAGTTTATACACTGGGCTCGAGTCTGTAGGAGACCCTGAGTCCACCCAGCTCTAATGGATACCTGACTAGAGTTAAGTAAACAAAGACGGCTGGGCATATTGCTTGTTACAGGTCATTTTGAGGTCAGATTAGAATAGGTTAGAATAGTCTCGAGCTTAGGGGAGAGTGCGTGTGTGAGCTGAGTTTACCCTAGTGTGTAGTTAACCCATGTGTGTTATGTATTGTAATCCCAAGGTCGAATGCGGGTATAAAAGGGCGAGTGAACGATTGTGGGATGTCAGCGGGTTAGTTGGTAGCGGTTAGAGCAGAGGCGTAACGAGAGGGGGGTGCGGACCGCACCGGGTGACACCACTTAGGGGGGGGGGGGGGTGACACCAAGGCAAAAAAAAAAGCAAAATATATAGAGGGGGTGCAGATCGAAAGTTTGAGGGGGGGGTGCAAATCGAAAATTTGAAAGTTTTTCGGGTTGCTACGCCTCTGGGGGGGGGTGACACCATTAAGTGCCGCACCGGGTGACACCCGACCACTGCGGTTAGGGCGAGGGCTACTCTGTTATGTGAAGAATTGGGTTCAAATAAAAGTGTTGAAGATAACCACGAATCGTTTCCTGAATTGAACCAAAACTGGACGTAACAGTGCTGACCACACTATCCCAGACTTCACTGAAACAGATGCACTCAGTTACATCTGCCTCATGTGTCTTGGGCAAAAACGGGAAAAGGTAATGAAAGAAACACCCATAATGTATATCTTAAACACCGAGGTTAGGATAATTACCAAACTAGAGATAAAATTGTGAAAGTTTGAAACTATTTTTAAATATGGCAATGTTGCTACTGTTCAAATACTTCTCGATTTCTTCAAACTTCCTGGGGCGGCATGGTCGTACGGTAGAACACTCGACACTGAAAATTTAGGGTTCGAATCCCAAGCTTGTCCGTAAGTTCTCCTTTTTTTCGGCTCAGACTTGTGACTGTAAGACGTCCCTGAGTCCATCCAGTTCTGATGGCTACCCGAGACGTTAAGGAAAATAAAGACACTTGCAAGGATAAGCCGAAGAGAGAATCCCCTTCTAGCATCTCTTTTCACGACAGTTCCACGAGATGGTGGAAGTGACATCTTTTGACCCGAGATGTTGACGTCTGATGGCGCTTGACCTGTTGCAAGAAATGTCGCAAAAAGACCTCTGCGATGTCTCAAATTGACCTAAGAAGCTGAAAAAAGCTAGGGTTAGGGTGAGAGTTAAGACTAGCTAGGGCTAGGACTATGGTTATGGCTAATGCTTGGGTCAGGGCTATGGCAAGGGTTAGGCTTTAACAAATGTTCTTAAGGCTTTGGATTAATGTAATATATAGGTATAGAATTTGGGTTAGAGTTAGGATTCTAACTTGAGGAGGGGGGGGGGGGGTAATTCCCAAAGGGGGGGGGGGGTCATTAACAGGGAGTTAATTGCTCCGGGGGGGGGGGAGAATATGGAGGGGAAATGTCCGGAGGGGATATTTGACGGGGGGGGGGGTAATGTCCTGTAGCCGTTAAAATAAACCCCTTCGTAATGTTTCTATTGACCCAAGATACTGAAGAAGACCTATGTTGTTTATCTACTAACCCATGATATCGAACTACGTGGTACCTCTACTGAGGAAGACCTATGTTGTTTATCTACTAACCCATGATATCGAAATGAACTACGTGGTACCTCTACTGACGAAGACCTATGTTGTTTATCTACTAACCCATGATATCGAAATGAACTACGTGGTACCTCTACTGACGAAGACCTATGTTGTTTATCTACTAACCCATGATATCGAAATGAACTACGTGGTACCTCTACTGACGAAGACCTATGTTGTTTATCTACTAACCCATGATATCGAAATGAACTACATGGTACCTCTACTGACGAAGACCTATGTTGTTTATCTACTAACCCATGATATCAAAATGAACTACGTGGTACCTCTACTGACGAAGACCTATGTTGTTTATCTACTAACCCATGATATCGAAATGAACTACGTGGTACCTCTACTGATGAAGACCTATGTTGTTTATCTACTAACCCATGATATCGAAATGAACTACGTGGTACCTCTACTGACGAAGACCTATGTTGTTTATCTACTAACCCATGATATCGAAATGAACTACGTGGTACCTCTACTGACGAAGACCTATGTTGTTTATCTACTAACCCATGATATCGAAATGAACTACGTGGTACCTCTACTGACGAAGACCTATGTTGTTTATCTACTAACCCATGATATCAAAATGAACTACGTGGTACCTCTACTGACGTAGACCTATGTTGTTTATCTACTAACCCATGATATCGAAATGAACTACGTGGTACCTCTACTGACGAAGACCTATGTTGTTTATCTACTAACTCATGATATCGAAATGAACTACGTGGTACCTCTACTGACGAAGACCTATGTTGTTTATCTACTAACCCATGATATCGAAATGAACTACGTGGTACCTCTACTGACGAAGACCTATGTTGTTTATCTACTAACCCATGATATCGAAATGAACTACGTGGTACCTCTACTGACGAAGACCTATGTTGTTTATCTACTAACCCATGATATCGAAATGAACTACGTGGTACCTCTACTGACGAAGACCTATGTTGTTTATCTACTAACCCATGATATCGAAATGAACTACGTGGTACCTCTACTGACGAAGACCTATGTTGTTTATCTACTAACTCATGATATCAAAATGAACTACGTGGTACCTCTACTGACGTAGACCTATGTTGTTTATCTACTAACCCATGATATCGAAATGAACTACGTGGTACCTCTACTGATGAAGACCTATGTTGTTTATCTACTAACCCATGATATCGAAATGAACTACGTGGTACCTCTACTGACGAAGACCTATGTTGTTTATCTACTAACTCAATATATCGAAATGAACTACGTGGTACCTCTACTGATGAAGACCTATGTTGTTTATCTACTAACCCATGATATCGAAATGAACTACGTGGTACCTCTACTGACGAAGACCTATGTTGTTTATCTACTAACTCATGATATCGAAATGAACTACGTGGTACCTCTACTGACGAAGACCTATGTTGTTTATCTACTAACCCATGATATCGAAATGAACTACGTGGTACCTCTACTGACGAAGACCTATGTTGTTTATCTACTAACCCATGATATCGAAATGAACTACGTGGTACCTCTACTGACGAAGACCTATGTTGTTTATCTACTAACCCATGATATCGAAATGAACTACGTGGTACCTCTACTGACGAAGACCTATGTTGTTTATCTACTAACCCATGATATCGAAATGAACTACGTGGTACCTCTACTGACGAAGACCTATGTTGTTTATCTACTAACTCATGATATCGAAATGAACTACGTGGTACCTCTACTGACGAAGACCTATGTTGTTTATCTACTAACTCATGATATCGAAATGTGGTACCTCTACTGACGCAAGATGTTGAAAAAAAACTTCAATGGTGTATTTATCTGTCTTGCTCTACTGGCCTTAGATATTGAAAACTCCATCGTGTTCTACTAACCTGGTATGTTAAAATTGATCTGGTAACCAATAACAAAATAACCTGTCCACAGAGTACAGGGTGCTGGAAAGTAGATTCTACTTCTTTATAGTGGGAGTGGGGGGGGGGGGAGCGGTCGAGGACTAAGTTCACAACCAAATAGTCACAAGTTCGAATCCAAGTAAGTTGAACGTCCCTGTTTATCCAGGATAAAATAGTTCAATTACAAAATATCACACTGACAAACGATCCTAATGGCAAAATATGTTTATGACAAAAGATCGCAATGACGAAAGATCTCATGACAAAAGTTCTCAATAACAAAATATCCCAATGACATTATATACATTATATCATTAACTATCAATGTATCTATCAATATATTATTAATTTATCTATTAATTTATTTTTTCTGTTTATTATCTATTAATTTATCTATTAATTTATCTATATTCTATTAATTATCTGTTTACTTATCGATTTATTTATTAATTAAGGTATCTTTTTATTCATCGTTTTATTCATCTGTCTATTTATCTCATGTCGGTAAATATCATTTCTAAGTCGAAAGCACTTAATTTGAATTCTCGCTTTGCTAGGGGGGGGGGGGGCTAATTAGTAACTGATATTAGTATGTTATGTAAAAAATATAGTGATTCGTAAGTAAATCACATCTTAATAGAATTAGTTGTTAAAAATCCTCTCACATTAGCTTGTCTACAAAAACATTACAATAAAACCATATATTTTTAAACAGTTTTAATAAGATTATGTGAAATTCGAAAAACAAACTATAACAATAATGCATTTAAAGTTTATGAAACATTTATATAAAACACAATAATTAAAAATATGTACATCAATCTTTAAAAATGTTTAAACAAATTAATGATCAGTGAATGGTCTAGTGAATTAAAACTTTGACTCGAACTTTAAAAAAAAACTGACCATTTAACGATCTGTTGTTGTTTTTTTTTTTTTGTTACCATGGTTACTTGGGGAGTGTTTTTTTACTTTATTTTCTATTTCTACATTCTGACAAACACAAAATTCTACATATTGACATAACGCACAAGATTCCACGCGATGACAAAACGTACATAGTTTTACTAGCTGTTCAAATGTACATAATTTTACACACGGGCAGAATGGACAATTTTCCACTTGCTAGCCGAATATATAAATATTTCTAGTTGCTAACAGAATACATATATTTCTAGTTGCTAACAGAATACATATATTTCTAGTTGCTAACAGAATACATATATTTCTAGTTGCTAACAGAATACATATATTTCTAGTTTCTAACAGAATACATATATTTCTAGTTGCTAACAGAATACATATATTTCTAGTTGCTAACCGAATACATATATTTTTAGTTGCTAATAGAATACATGTATTTCTAGTTGCTAACAGAACGCACATACTGATCGACAGCGTTAGTGTTTCTCCTGTCTGCGTTCATTCTAAACACCATCTCATAGGGGTAGGGGAGCTTTGTCTGAGACAGATCGTCCAATTGCTGCATCTGATGTTGTTGAGAAAATAATTATTTTTAGCGCTGAACAATTAATCAGTTGAAAAATACATTAGAAATAAACAAACTTCATTGTAATTTATAGATAAATAAATGATAGTATGATAAAATAGCCACCACCTACCACCTCTTATACTATGTGCTAGCCACCACCTACCTCATCTTATACTATGTGCTAGCCACCACCTACCTCATCTTATACTATGTGCTAGCCACCACCTACCTCCTATGTGCTAGCCACCACCTACCCCCTATGTGCTAGCCACCACCTACCTCCTATGTGCTAGCCACCAACTACCCCCTATGTGCTAGCCACCACCTACCTCCTATGTGCTAACCACCACCTACCAATCTTATACTATGTGCTAGCCACCACCCACCCCCTATGTGCTAGCCACACCTACCTCCTCTTATACTATGTGCTAGCCACCACCTACCTCCTATGTGCTAGCCACCACCTACCCCTATGTGCTAGCCACCACCTACCCCTATTTGCTAGCCACCACCTACCTCCTCTTATACTATGTGCTAACCACCACCTACCCCCTATGTGCTAGCCACCACCTAACTCCTATGTGCTAGCCACCACCTACCTCCTATGTGCTAGCCACCACCTACCTCCTATGTGCTAGCCACCACCTACCCCCTATGTGCTAGCCACCACCTACCTCCTATGTGCTAGCCACCACCTACCCCCTATGTGCTAGCCACCACCTACCTCCTCTTATACTATTTGCTAGCCACCACCTACCCCCTATGTGCTAGCCACCACCTACCCCCTATGTGCTAACCAATCACCTACCCCCTATGTGCTAGCCACCACCTACCCCCTATGTGCTAGCCACCACCTACCCCCTATGTGCTAGCCATCACCTACCTCCTATGTGCTAACCAATCACCTACCCCCTATGTGCTAGCCACCACCTACCCCCTATGTGCTAGCCACCACCTACCCCCTATGTGCTAGCCACCACCTACCCCCTATGTGCTAGCCACCACCTACCCCCTATGTGCTAGCCACCACCTACCCCCTATGTGCTAACCACCACCTACCCCCTATGTGCTAGCCACCACCTACCCCCTATGTGCTAGCTACCGCCTACCCCCAATGTACTAGCCACCACCTACCTCCTCTTTAGTTAAAGACCAGCCATTTCCTGCACCAAGGTTATCATCCAGCTGTTTCAGATTTCTCGCTCCAATGATCACAGAGGACACAACGTCTTTTTGGAGCAGCCAGCGAATGGCCACCTGAGCTAGACTTCGATCTGGTGATTTGGTCATCATTGATTATCAAATAATAATCAAACATTATACATCGTTGTGATTTGAGTGTCTTTTAGGAGCACTTACATTAATTATAGACCGAGCTTCGTCAGTAACATTGATACCTTGGCCCCCGCCATAAACCTTCTTAGTTTGACCCTTGCCCCGAACATAAATTCAAGTTCCTCTCCCAAACGGTCTATTGTGCAAGTGAAGTAGAGTGCACCGGTTTCTGTGACCTCGGCATATGAGGGGATAATGTGGTCAGCACTAGGCCAAGACGCCTTTACTTTCCCTAACATCAGAGCTGGAGGGACTCAGGGACAGTCTACTGACTTGAACCCGGATTCGAACTCGAGACTAACAGTTAAGCAGTCTAGCTTTCTATCGCTAGGCCACTCCGCTCCCCGAACATAGCCCCCGCTTAAGTTACTAAACGTGTCAGTAAAAAGCTTTTTTAAAAAATTGAAGTTAACAAAGGTGTCAGTAAAAAGCTTCATAAAAAGTTCAAGTTCGACTTAAAATCATACCTACCATATTTTTTAGCAATGGCCTCTCCAGCCTCTAGAAGATCAAACGTTTGGTCCCCAAAACTGGCCCAGGACGGGGCACACTGACACGCTCTACTGGCCAGGTCATCGGCCACCCAGGACAGTCGGCCTTCCGTCGGCCTTTGTCCGCGTTTCACTTTCCCGGACAGCAACCCTCTGTTTTAGATATCATCAGATTTTTTTTTAAAAAAGCTTTGCTATTCAACATGTTTTTTTTTTTAATTGACATTTTGTGAATCGACGGAGTTTTTGTGTGTCTATTTTATACGTTTTTGAACCTTATTGCTCGAAAACGTATAGTGTTGTATATTCTAGTTTTTTTAAAAATACAATAGTTTATTGCCATAAGATTCTTAGAACAATTATACTCTTTTTAAAAAAATTAAAGATTTTTAGACCTAGCGACCCCTTGTGCAGATAAAGTAGAGTTCATATTTTTCTTGACTTCGGCATTTGAAGGATATTTCAACATATTTTAACTAAACATAAATAAATACTAACTTTTTCTTACACTACCTTAAAATTCGTTTAACGAAAGCTTAAATAGGTCACGTCTTGATTGAGATAAGAAAAAAAATAATGTATAAACAGTTGTTAAAAAACTTAAGTGCTTGACAAAATTAAAGAAGTCTACTGTATGTGACGTATCTTATAAAATGATTAGCACTTTTTAAACATACATATTTAAAAAATAAAGCGCTTATGAGTTTGAATCGTGAAATAAAGAGGATGATAGAAGGAAGGTCACTACTCACCCTTTGAGTGGGCTCCATGGTAAGACTCCAATACCTGATGTTTTACACACCTGGAATGGCTCCAATTCTGATTCTCTGCTGACGAGATTGTATTGTTGCTGAAACATAGCAAACAAACATTTCTACATCACATGGTAGACGAAATTATTACACCATTTTGTTTAGTTGGTTGTTTAAATAAAATAAACCTGACTGGGATTTTTCAAACTTGACAAAGTCAATAAAACAATCTTTCTTCTTCTTCTTCTGCGTTCTTAATTTTTAGTGTTGGAAGAGATCCCCTCCAACTCAATTAAGTTTACGTGTCAAATTGTTATGCGCCATATAGGCCGTGAACTTCGATTTCAGCCTGCTTTTCTTTTTGGATTTGCTTCCATAGTTTTTGTCCAACCAAGAACAAACTACAAGGCAGCAGTTGTTTGAAGAGTTGCTGTCCCCAGCTAACGAACCTCATCTGCCCGAGGGTTCGAACTCTAGACTTCTCGGTTTAGCAACCATGAGCTTTACTGACGACCACCCCGACCCATGTGAAACAATCAATTAGCTTTAATAAAGGAATTAGCACAAGTTAGGTAACACGAAAGTAGATTGGAGTAGTTTATCGTTTTGTTATACTGAGTTAAGTGAGGGAGGGGGGGGGGGTATCAAGCTATGTTGTTTAATTGACATTATTTCCACACTTTATTTAGATATTCCCGATTATGCCATAGTTTTAAAAAGAGTGAGAGTGAAATGGTTCCTAAAATATGGTACACAATATGGTAGTTGGTGGTCTAAGTTTGTGTCATTTGGCATAAGTTTTATCCTATTATTTGCGATTCTTTTTGTCTTATAGATTTGTACACAATCCCTAAAAGGCAATTAATTCAAGCAGAGTAATGGACTCTAAAACAAATCAAGCAGTTAATCATTTATCAAGTTTTCACATTATATATATGTAACTAGTGTAGTTACTAAAGACGATTGATAAGAACGCAATACAGTCTGTCAACTAAGACACGATCAAGGTCAAACTGAACTGATGCAACGGATGCAGGTGGTGTGACAGAAATAGAAACAAAAGTCTAATAAAGACTAGTACAAGACAACTGCGTAGTAGTTGGGAGGCGAGATAATCGGACTGAACATAGCTATGATGCAACGGATAGAACCGATTACGATTACGAATACGAGGGGATATAATAGGAAGGCGACTGGTAGTAAGAGACAGAGAGAACAGGAGTTGAAGACTGAACTGTAGATACGTGTTTCCATTCGAGAGAATAAGGTTTGAAGCCTGAACCATGGACACGTGTATTCTGATATGTGAGAACTAGTGAGGACAGTGGGGGTCAGTTGGTTCATTGTATTCTTGTGGAACATTGATGCATTGCTATGTGGAGCATTTCTATTGATTCATGTAATAAAGAGTTAAATGTAAACCTGCACTTCCGAGTATCTGTATTGTGGTTGATGTTGTGTGCTGGTCAAAGATAGCACAAGTAAATAGACTCGGTAACATTTGGCACTGCGAGTAAATACACTCGGTAACATATATATATATATATATATATATATATATATATATATATATATATATATATATATATATATATATATATATAATATGCATATATATATATATATAATCTCTTTGGTTACCTGTAAGCTAATTATAGGATTTAGCCCCAACTTCTCATTGAGGTCAACTAGCTTCTGTAGCTGCCAGCCCAAGAAGTTGCTGGCACCAATGTAGCGCACTTTGCCGCAGCGCACCAGGTCATCAAAGGTGCGCAAAGTCTCCTCCATTCTAGTGGCATCATCAAAGTTGTGTGCCTTTAATACAAAGGGGAATCATTTATTTTCTAATTTTAAAAATATTATAGGCAAGTTAATTTCGAAAACTTTTAAATTGTTTACAAGGTTTTAATTAACGTGATTCCCATGTCGATCATTCGGACGAAACTTGCGAGCGAAATTTTAACCACATCTACCAAACCAATTTGTTTCAAATTATTATTATTATTATTAATTAAAGATTGATAAATAGTATAATTAGTTTTAACAATACTACACCCTTGATTAGTCTTTAAAATTATGAGAATTTTTTTAATATAGATAAATGTATTTATTGTTTTCATTATTATTTTATAAAGATAATCATTTTATTTTTATAGTGCAAAAATAAAAGCGTGTTTTCTGATGGTTTTTTTTTTATTTTTTAAACAAAGTTTGATTGGAAAATAGCTTTTAATCAAATAACACCTTAAGTTAACAACAAAAGCACGTGACAAACTTGTCAAAAATTGTTTCTATGTTCACCTGATACAAATCCACATAGTCTGTGCGCAGTCTCTGGAGACTTCTGTCGATACTCGCTGTGATGTGTCGTCTGCTTAGGCCGATGTTGTTGACGTTGTTTTGGGTCCCCATGTTGGCGCGGACCTTGGTTGCTATGACAACGTTTTCTCTCGCGCGTCTTCATTAATGGGAAATTTTTAGTATAATAGTTATGTAGGGATATATGCAGGTAATACATAAAACTAAAGCAAAATGAAATGTTAGCTATTACCGCTGTTATGCAATATTATTCACAACTGTTAGCTATTTTTTAAATTTATGTAAATACTTTGCTGCTTTAACTTATCACTATTATGAAAAAAAAGTAATATTTTATATAATTCCATCTATCAACTTATGCCCCTATAAAATTCAATATGTGTACTGTGTTGTTTTAAGTTTACAACTTGCGCTAAAAACTGACTTCTCAGTTTTTTACTCCAACGTTTTAATATCACAATACTCTTATCCGTGGCTTTATTATTTTAAAAAAAAATCTTTTACATTAAAAAACAAGTTAATAAAAAGTCTAGTGATAATTTAAGCGAAATTTCCTAAATTAATTTTTTGTGACCGAACGAAAGGATATTTTTGAAACCTTTCTTCGGCAATATTGTTATAAATTATGGCAGGAATCGATTGGTAAATGTTTCAAGTCGTTAAGTGGTCTGGTTGCCGAGATATGGGCCAAAAACTGCATTTTTTCGAGGTTTTTTGGCTTTTCCGGGAAATTCAGGAAGGAATTCCGGGAAATTTTTTGGCCCACAATCATCCTCGGAACTTGCTTAACATATTTGCTTTTGGAACTTAACATATTTGCTTCGTTGAGGAGGAGATACGACTTAAAGCTGCGGACACACATCCATCCATTGCGGACACACATCCATCCATCCAGAAATAACGAATTAATAATCGCAATGGAAATTGCGCTAAAAAAGTGTGTGCTAATTTAAATTCAATTACTAACAAAAATGCTACTTTTCTTAAGCGAGATAGTGTGGTTGGGTTGTTGAACGGTTACTACTAACGCGAGAGTTTTGAGTTCGGATCTCGGAACAGCCTAGATATCCATGAGTTCACCCAGCCCTAATGGGTACCTGACCCACGTTAGTAAAAGTAAAGGCGGAAGGGCATCTATGTGACCACACTATACCTAAAAATAACGAGGTCAAAACAGAGGCATAGCGACTTATGTCCCCTCCCCCGCCCCATCCCCCCCCCCCCCCCCTCGCTACGCTACTGGGTAAAAAACACATGAATATCTTTCCTGTGAATTTTTATGCTGAAATGGAAATTTTACTTAACGTTTTCAATCATGTTTTCTGTAACAACGTTATAAAGTACTGAAAGCCATTTTGTTTACTTTTCCAGCCATTTTCCAACGATTTCCTCGGACTTTCCCAGTCCATAAACATCAGCAGTGTCTATAAAGTTCCCACCCCATTCAACAAAACGGTCCAGGATTTGGAAAGACAATTCTTCATCACACTGTCCAGGTAGACCTTGCTGAAAAAAATATGTTTTAAAACTTCGATCTTATAACAATATATATAAAACATGTACTTCAAGAAATAAATTGATCATATAATAAACTAAACAAAACATGTAAATTAAGCAATAAATTGATCATATAACAAACTATATAATACATGTACATCAAGAAATAAATTGATCATATAACGAACTATATAAAACATGTACATCAAGAAATGAATTGATCATATAACAAATGATATAAAACAGGTACACCAAGAAATAAATTGATCATATAACAAACTATATAAAACATATAGGCCTACATCAGGAAATGAATTGATCATATAACAAACCATATAAAACATGTACATCAAGATATAAATTGATCATATAACAAACAATTTAAAACATGTACATCAGGAAATAAGTTGATCTTATAACAAACGATATATAAACATGTACATCAAGAAATAAATTGATCATATAACAAATGATATAAAACAGGTAGGCCTACATCAAGAAATACTTTTTTCATATAACACACTATATAAACCAAGTACATCGAGAAATAAATTGATCATATAACAAACTATATAAAACATGTACATCAAAATATTAACTCTAAGTTTATAAGAAACTACATAGGACATTATACATGTATGTACATTTTATAATGCAAATCCTCATCGTTGAAATTACAAACTGTCAGAATATTTTATATGCTCTTACTTATTCTAAACATCTCACGTACTAGTCACTACCCTATTGCAACGCCTTTAAAATTACTTTTTAATTAAGGTTCTATTTTAATCAAATGGGAAAATACTCATACGCCTTGAGCGCAGTAAGAATTTTGAATTAATGAACTTAAAAAATCGGTTAAGATTTATATAGGTTTTGAATTATGGAGCAACCAAATGTTTGTATTTTGAATTAATTGTGTGGGTTAAGTTAAGCTTCGAAACCACCCTTCCCCTAGGTCCAAAAATGAGAAAAGTTATTTTTTTTTTTAAACTTACAGCTGATTCACCAAAAGTCATTGCTCCTAAGCACAAGTTAGAGACTTTAAGACCTGATCTACCAACATAAACATAGGGAAGTTTCTGTTCAGCCTGTACTGGAGAAGCCATGATTCGCGCTTGATTACTGTTCACCTGGTAATTAAAATTTTAGATAGTGAATTTTCTAATGACAATTAAAAATGTTGATTTGCGATTTTCTAGTGTGATGTCACCCCAATCCACTTTGGTGGGTGATGCATTGTTTGTCTGTGAAAGTTGAGATTGGTGTCACCCTCAACGTCCATTTTGCACATACGTTATATTAATCCAGCTATTAATTGAAGTGTACAAAAAGTAATATTGTAATGAAAAATTATTAGATGTGGTGTCACCCCCACTCAGGTCGTTGAATGAAGAATCATTTTTTGTAAATATAGACTTTGCAGTTGACGTTACCCCTCCCCCACATACACGCACATGATAGCATTAATTTGTGTGCACTTATTAGTAATGATGTTTGTCTATAGTTGGTCAATAATAAAACGGAATGTAGCATTGATTTCTCTATAGTTAGCAAGTTACGTGATGGTGTCACCCCCTCCCCCTTTTTGGGATCGTCTATGTTGTACTTAAAAGACCATTTAACTTGTATTAATCATTAATTGCACTGACATAAAGCACTTTTGTTTTGTAAATTTTGCTATTTTTGCCTTGTCGCACACCCCTATCCCCAAAAAGGGTCTGCACCCTCCATCCCTCCCCCTTGCGACGCCTCTGATATGAATAGATCAGTAATCTTATCAACGTAACCACTGCTGACATGCATATTGTTCAAGGTCGACAAAGTAGGCTACAGTAGCAAATCGGAATAATAAAAAAAAACAGGCTGAAGTCAAGTCAACAAGCCATATGGCACATAACACATTGATACATTAATATGTTGGAGGAAAATACATCTAACATTACAATTTAGAACGAAGAAGAAGTCATATCCGAAATTGGATGCTTATTATATCCAAATATAAATTGTCATAGTTTTAGCATTATCTTTGTTTATATTTACTAACACCAATTCATTAAAACTGCAGTTTTTAAAGATGCCTACCAAAAGGGTTTCCAGATATGTTACACGGTATGTTGCATGAAGTTGTAAAGCCAAACTATCGACTCTTTGTAAAGGCTGATTGTTACACCACTAGTCAGAAACAAATTCACATATTGCAAAGCTGCTGTGTGATAATTATGAGAAATATGTCGCACAATAAAATCCACAGAAATGTAAATAGCATATAGATTTACACTGCTGATATATATATATATATATATATATATATATATATATATATATATATATATATATATATATATATATATATATATGCCCAGTATCAGATAGTGGATCCCGACCAATTAGCAAAGTCAGCAGTATTCTAGCAACTAACTACCTACAACAAGTTTAAAACTTCACTCAAGCAGTTCGTTATTAAATAGTGGCAGATGTTGTGGTAGGAAGATAAGTGTGGCTATGGAGCGCAATGTTTTTTTTTTCTAGGTGTGATTCGCCCGACAGATGAATGCGCTCGAATTAGGTTGTATGTGTTTCCTTTTCTTTACTGTGTAATCTTTAAACTATTTTTAGAGTAGCTGGCCGAGTTTCTGGGAAGTGCTTATTGCGGCCACCGATAGAAGAAAGATGCAAGCAGTGTTTCTTCCAG